GTTGCTCCACCACCACCACCACCAACACCTCCTCCTCCTCCTCCTCCTCCTCCTCCTCCTCCTCCTCCTCCTCCTCCTCCTCCACAACCACCACCCGCGTCACCATGGAGCAGGTCTCTGGCCTCAAGGATTGCTTCGCTCCCCTGCGGCAGCTCGTCAACCTCCTCGTGGCCCCCAGCATCCTCCCCATCCTCGACGAGGTACCGTTACCCCCAGCCCTAGCTCGAGCTCAGCAGTGGGGCAGGTGGAGCGAGGACAGACGTACCCCAACATCGACCTCCGTCTCCTGCTCGCCATCCTCGAGAAGGCAAGAGGCACCTTCCTGTGCTCCCCCCAGTGACGCTGCTGCTTCCAGTCGAGAGATCCAGGGCAAGGCATCTTCTTCTCGCAGAGTACGAGCTCGACTCGTCGCAAGGAGGCATCGGCTCTCGCCTCCTTCCTGCCGCTGACGTGCTGGAGCAGGTGGACCTGGTCATGAAGAAGATGCGGGATCTAGTTTGAACCACCCGATGCCCTCACGGTGAAGGCCTAAACCCAACTGCCAAGTTTGGCCCATCACCCTGGCAGTGGCACGCCGGTGATCTTCACTTGCCGTACTCTGACGGACTCTTCAACTTCGGTGCCACTGCGGCCCGTTCAGTCCTGCCGGGCCGCTGAGCCTCCGAGTCGGTGCCGGGAGTTCAGTCAGCGATCAACCGTTTCACGGTTGAACGTTGCCAAGTTGGCCCGGGCCCGCCGGGGCCGGGCCCCGGCCCGGGGCCGTATCCTGATGCCTCCAGTGCGGCGGGGGCTATGAGATATATCCTGTGTTCCTTCATCGAAGAGACATCTTTCCGTGAGGGTCATACTCCATGGAAATTTCAAATAAAGTTCATAAAACCCACCAAATTCAAAGAGGAAAATCACAGTATAATGGATATTTTGGTGAAAATACTCAAATTCTGTGCTGATTTGGAGCACCTGCTGGGAGAATTGAAGAAGGAAGGCACCGAAATGACCGCATGTGAGTTTGCAACATGATTCCTCATGAGGGGGGGAGGAGGAGGAGATGAACGATGATGAAGAAGCGACTTATTTGATTCATCCACATGACTCGTTCATCATCAAACACGTGTTGAATGCATGAACCACCATCACCTCCTTGCCCATGACCTCGTCATTCATCTGCTTGAATCTTCTATGAGCGCCGTTTTATATGAACCTGATAATCTTGAACTATCCCTGAATTTTGTCTGTTTTTGTTTATTCTTATTTTCATCTTGGCATACTGTATCTTGGTCATGTTTGCCCGCGCAAACATTCATCAATGCTGAGTTTTCATCAATGCTGAATTGTCGATTCGTATGTTTTTTGGTTGTTATCTCATCACACAACGAGAATGAATGAAAGTTGTTAAGATTCAAAACATCGAACGTGAATTTCCGTGTTGTGATTTTCTTTTTCGTGGTGTATACATGAAGATAGAAAAATGTGTTGGGTAGCCGGTCAGTTGATCGGTTCAATTTTCGTGTACGATGTGAAATGCCTTGCACATGAGATGTTCATTCTAGTCCATGATTGCATGATCATTTGCATTTTCTTCACAATTACTTCAAGATTATTTGATGCAGTAATATGTTTGGCGGTGTACTTGCCTGTGTACATAGTATTGTTTCGTTTTCCATGGTTCTTAATGTTTGATCGCCTTCGTCTCGATGATCTGACGCTGCATCGAACATATATTATCATTCTGCGCATTGCAAGAGACAAGGTCATTAATGAATGTCTTGAGTCTTGTGCACCTCACACAAAAAGCGATAATCCTTGGGCTGGGTTGCTGATTCTGATGACAGACGGTACCTTCTTTGGAGGAGCACCTGAGGTGTCCAGCAATAAGAATCAGAAGAAGTCTGTCTTGCTCGCCGTGGGCGCAGCTCTTCTTGTCGTGGGGGTTGTGGTCATCGCTTCTTCTCGCAGAGTTTCTCTTTCTCAGGTCGACAAGGACGATGGCACTGATGCGCTGATCAACGCTGTGCTCGTTGCTCGGGGGGACTCTCTACCCACCAAGTTCGTGGCTTCCAGGCTGAACATCAACCCACAGCTTCCCTTCCTCGGATCTTCCGCCTACAAGTCCAAGCACATCAAGGCCATTCACCGCAGGAGACCAGCGTTGAAACAGGCCAGGCTCCAGTCCCTTGAACTGGATCCTGCTTCCCAGTTCTGCGCTGATCCTGCAGACTGCGCCAGAGACCTCGACTACTTCAAGGCGGTGAGTGAAGCTGCTGTTGTTGTGGTGTGGATGGAAGCTTCTGACAACGCGAGCAGAACGCTATCTGGCATCAGGCTGCTCACGACATGATCGGATCCACCGGCCCCATGGGGTGAGCGCTTTGCCTTTCCTGATCAGTTGTGCTCGCTGACTCATGTGCCAGACCCGCGTTCCCTCCCAACATGGACGGAGTTGCCGGCAAGGTGCAGTACGCCTGGTGCGACCCTGAGTTGAACCCCTCCTGCCGATAAGCAGTATCTCCTTCTCCTCAGAAGTATTTGTATGGATACTTTTGCTCTGTTTGAAATTAAATCGCTCAGAAACAAAAATGTCATGAAATCGTCTCTTTCGATGTCACGCAGTGTTGTCACAGGTGACGTGAATCATTCTACTTGCACAAGAGATTCATTAACCAATATTCCACAAACCTTACGCCATTCATTTGGAGCCTTTATTCCGCAATACATCATGTACATCACAACTACTTTACACGGGCGCGCGAGTGGCCAACTTGCCAGCACGACCTCATACTCTCTCGAACGCACCGCCAACAGCTGAGGACGGCATGCTCGACTTAACCCTCAGCCTCTCGATCACCTTGGGTGCCACTTCGTCCGGTGCGCATGCGCTGCTCCACCCTGCTGTCGATTTTATGCCCTTTGTAGAGGCCCCGGGGGTTCCTGACCCGCCCAACCTTCCCCCCAGGAGGAAAGGAGGAGCATTGGCAGAGCTCCCTGAGGGCAACATGTCCAGCACAGGCCCCCTGTTGAACTCAAAGTTCTGTGCGCGCGACTCCTTTGGAACTCGACTCGTCTTCTTCTTTGCCTCAATAAGCCTGAGGTTGCGAGCATGGCCGAGGGCAGAGACCCTGACATCGCACGAGAGCCGGCGGTTGCCCCTCACAAGGTTGGCCCAGGGATCATGCGCGTCCATGGACATGGCGATGGGCCCGTTGGGCATGTGGTAGGAGGACCTCCAGGGAGCCGCCGCCATGTCGGTCGCTGCCGTTGCCTGGCCCTTGAGAAGTTCATAATGCGACTGTCCAAAAGTTCAGGAAGGCGTCGAGTAAATAGCCCGGCAATAGTTCTATGTAAAGTTCAGGTTCAAAGTTCATGTGATCGGGGATGCGGGCTCCGATTCTGCTGAAGGGTCAGGGGTCGTTTGACGGGAGGGGTGGTGGATTTCATAAGCTGAGTACCCCTCATTTTATCTTTTATCACCCTACCCTCAGACACCATGACCCTACCTCACCGACAGACGGCTCTTCGGAAAGAAAAAATCTGGACCCCCTCCCTTTTCCATTCCCACCCCCCAGTTTGACCAGACAACCACCCCTGTACCCTACTTTATCTCTCTCTCGGTCTCACCAAGGGTCATCGTTGCCGCAATGCTCTTCTCCAAGCTTGTGAGTATCGCTCATGCCGCCCGTTTCCGTGGCCTTCCGGCCTCTCCTGCTATGCAGAATCTCTCCTCATCATTGTCCCCTTCATTCTCTAGCGTTTGTGCCCTCTTCTTCCCTCCACTCCAACGTTGGCTTCTGATTTCTTATCTGGTCGATTCGCGCTTGTCTTACACCTGGCCCCCTCTGTGCGGATGCTTCCCTCTCACTGTTGTATTTCTTCCCGTATTAACTTCGTATGACCATATTACTTCTTTTGTACTTCTCTTATTGTTGTGATATCTCTTCGTCGCAACCATGGTCGTTGTGAAAAGGCGTTATCGAACTAGTTTGTTATGAAAGTTCTCTCAATGTTTGACCTTTTTGCCACTCTACAATATTCAGTTGTTCTAAATTGATGACCATATCCATTGTCTCTGAGACAATTTTCTTGATCCCCATGTTCTTGATCCCCTGTTTGCAATACTTCTTGGTTCTGTATTCCCTTGAGGCATCAGAATTGTCTGAACACGAGGTGTTCGACTCCTTTCTTGCAGGGTAGTTTGTTTCTGTTGACTGCGAAATAGATTCAAACAACTCGTAGTTCCGATTTTTTTGTCTGTATCCAATTGATAATCTCTGAGAGTAAGGTCAAATACTTACACTTTGTCATCTGGTTGTGAGTAACGGTGTTGGTGCATGTTCCTGAAAACAAAATTTCACAAGTATCACTGCCTGACAATTTGCATCAGGATTGCTCCTTCCCTGCCTACTTCTACACTCAGCCCATGGCTACTGGACCTGGCTTCTACGACAACTTGTGCCCCCAGTCCTGGCAGGATGGCTCCGCTGCCACCTTCACCCTCCAGGATCCCCACCAGCAGAGTAAGAGCTTGTTGATGTTGGTTGTGAGCTTTACCTGACCTGCTTTGTACAGCCTTTGACTGCCCGGGCAACTAAATTAGTTCTAGAGGATCGAGCAAGAAGCTATGTTGGCTTAATGAAATGACTGAGAAGTATTCGACAATTGATCCCACTCTTGCACGTCCGCATCCGACCTGTCTTTTAGTCGCGTCCTATCTCGAGGTACTGGACATCAACAACATAGTCTGCTTCTCTCTACACTGAGGTGAATACAACTGCACGAAGTAATTCACGCACTTTCCACTTTCCGATTTAAGTGCAGGGTTGAGTTCATGCTCCACTCTGAGAGATATCCATAAAAAATCGCGGGCGAGGATTGGAAAGTGACATGACTACTGTTTCTTGAGCTGGACATTGCAATATTGAAATACAAAAAGCTGTTTGTACACAAACAATAAAGAAGGAACTTGTAGACAAATATTTTGTGGAGATAGTCATTTTCGTCGCTTTGTTGGAAGGCATGACAAAATTGAACATCATGGCAAACATTACGCTTGCAAAGGGTGTGAAGAGCTTGCTGACTGATGTTTCTCTTAGTCTCCCCAAACTCACTTTATTACATGTCAATGGCACAGTGGAGAACTCTGGTCCATTGGTCTGCATGGAACGGAGTGTTGTAGTTGTATCCAATGTAACAGACGGTACCCAAGTCATAGCGGATGACGAACGCAACAGTAGCCCCCAGAGTGTCGAGCATGGACTTGCCGCCAGGAGGGAGAGATCTTGACTTGACAGCATAAGTCTCTATTGAAGCCTGCTCCACGCGAGACGGGAGGTACTGGAAGGGAGTGTTGCGGACGTTGCGGTCGTTACGGTAGTAAGGACCGTTCTGATAGTCATCGGTCAACTGGAATCCATAGACATCGTTCATGAACTGCACAGCAACGTAGTTGCCCAAGAAGACCACCTGCAAGCACGACTCTGTGAGGACCAGAGGGCGAGGTCACCATGTGCGTGCTTACGTTGTTTCCAGCAGCAGTGTAAGCACGGAGATCAGTCTTGGCGGTCTCACTGATACCAGGGTAGCGAACAAAAGGCGGCCAAACCTGCCGGATCAGGTTAACATTACCCGGAGTCAACAAGAAGGTGGAAGGCGAGGCGGAGGAGGGTCAAGGCTCACCAGGCAGTGAACAGCCTGATCCCACAAGACAGCCCGGAAGGTGGCATCATCCAGGGAAGTGAAGAGGCGAACCATCTGTGACAACTTGAGGACAAGAGGCAAGAAGTCGCTGTGAGCTCACAGTCTGATAATTGTGCTTTCTGATCTCCTTGGCGATAAATCCGGTCTCGTGCTTGTTGTCCACGGCAAGTCCGGCGTACATGTAAATCTGGTCCACGAAAGCTGTCGCAGTGTTAGTCATGCAGCAAGGTAGCGCCCTCTTCTCCTTGCTGCCACCCACCAGAGGTTTGCAGGAACGAGAGCTCGGTGGTCTGCTGCCTGTTAGCGGCCAACTGCCAGCAAGTCTCAGAACAAAGATGACCGACGGACGTCAAGGATCAGAGACCATGACATATCAGCATCATCAGGTCATCACAGACAGAGAGAGGACGGTACAACACTCTAGTCTCCTTATTTCATGACTCATTCCATACAGTCCGCAATGAACAGCATAGCACAGCCCTCAACATGCTGGGTCCAGAGTATCAGAGGAAACCAACCTTCGAAGCCGCAGAGGAGGAGGAGGAGGATCCCTGCCATGCTGCCAGAGCGAGAAGGACGACGAGAGCGCCTGCTGCGCCGGCTGTGTTGACGGCGCGTGAGGAAAAGGAGGACATGGCGGACGCGCCAAGGGGCAGGCGACGATTCGCGCCTGACCGTTACAAAATCCAACCGAAACAGGCTGGCCCGGGCCCGGCGCCCGGGCCCGGCCCGGCCTCCGACCGTACGGCGTTAGTGACAGCCGCGGGGCCGGTGAAGCGGCCTGCGGCTCATAACCGACGGAGTACAAGTTTGAGTTACTCACTGAGTCAGCCCGCCTGCAGGAGACTTGGTGACCATGCCAAAGTAACTCCGAGCGGCCCGCCGGCCGCCGGGCGGCCCTCACCGTCAGCCTCCTCGGACTAGGCTGTGAGTCCGACGGTCAGGCTGTGGCACAGTGACTCACCGTCACCGTGACCGGGTCGGTCACGGTCCGATCACTGCCGCACCCGGCAGTCACTGCGGCACCCCCCGGCGTACGATCTCGGACTCGCTCGGACCGTCGGGTCACAGCCTGTGTCCGGCGTCGGCCCCGGACCGAGTCGAGAGCCGCGGCGCGGCCGCGGGCGCTCGCCGGGCCGCGTCAGTGTGCAGTGCGGCCGCCTCTTCGGAGCCCGGCCTGCACCGTCCGAGTCACCGCCGGTACGGCGTAAGACGGTCGGACGGTCAACTGTCACTGGCTGTGCGGCTACGGTCACTCAGTGTGCCGATTGCCACCGCCGCTGTCGGAACTTACTAACTGTAAGTTAGTCACTCCCGTACTGAGTGATCGGGCCCGACGGTCACCCGGTGTGAGGCGTAGTCACACACGAAGAACAGGAGGACGGGTGGTGAGAGAGCCTCATAAAGGTATAAAACTGGTTTCTAAGGGGGTGGTTTCTCACTCATCTGATGGGATGGGTGGGGGTATCCTCAATACCCCCCTTTCTAAACAAAAAAAATATGGTAAGGGTACTTTGTTTTGTACAATGGGGTGGGGGTGTATAAATCATGATTGGTGGGCGGCTAAATGGGGGGCCAGGGGGAGACAGGGGTACTTGAGTGTGAGTACTTAGAAATAGTAGAGGTAGGGTACTTTCATAGGGGTACGTTTAGTACAAAATTCTGAAAAATAGTATGGTAGGTATGGAGGAAGGGGGGTGATGAACTGAAGGGTAGGGTACCAGAATGGTGTGGTTTGGGGTGCAATTGCAGTGATTGGGTGGGGTATGAAGGCGTAGCTGGTACCTGGCCCTTTTGAGGGGGTAGGGTGATCTAATGTAGGGTTCTATTTAGAAGAAGGTTTTATGGTCCGAGGAAGTGGTGGGTGTAAATAGTAAAGAGTAGGGGTGATTTTTAGCAATTGGTGGTCCATGACCATTGGGGTGGGTGATGAGAAAGGGTACAGTGGGTACGCCTGTTTGTCTCTCCGAAAGTGCAAACCCAAGTTGTAGAAGAGCGAGAGAGTCTCAGGGGAGAGCACGACGAGCAGAACAAGTTCAGAGACACGGGTCAAGACACACAGAGAGGAGGAAGACAGGCAGACGAACAGAACTCTTACACTTGGAAGACGAGGCGTCAACGAGGAAGACTTGTAGGAACCTTTTTGTCATCAAACGAAACCCGCGCTTCGAAGCTTGAAACATGTCTCTCATCAAGAGCATCGCTACAGGAGCTATCGCTCACTCAAAGGGACTTGTCGTCCCTTCCCTCAGACCTCCTCTGCTGCAGAATGCAAGCTCGATCAGCCGAGCCTCCTACAGCGCGATGAGCCCGATGGTTGAAACCATGGTTGCTCCCTCTCAGACACAGAAAGTGAAGCTCGTCATCTTTGACAAGGATGGGACCCTCATCTCCTTCGACGCAACTTGGAGCAAGTGGGCAGACGATCTGATCTCTCGTTTCGTGAGCAAGTGCGGAGAGCAGCTGCGAACTCCTCTCGCAGACACCCTTGGGTACGACATGGAGTTGAGGAAGGTACGCGGAGAGAAGTCGCTCATGGCGTGGGCGGCGCAGCCCTTGATCAGAAAGGCGGTGGAAGCTTGTCTGACAGAGCAAGGAGGGATGAAGGAAGGAGACGCAAGGGAGGCGGTGAGGGAGTGCTGGGCTGAGTGCGAGGAGGGAGAGGTGTCCCCCATCAGCAGGTGCACCAAGACCTTGTTCCAAACGCTGCACAGGATGGGCATCATGACTGGGGTGTGCACGTCGGACGCGAGGAGGCCGACGGAGCTGAACCTGCGGAGCCTGGGGATTTCTAGCATGGTGCATCATTCCATCTGCGGGGATGACTCGTTCAACGTGCCCAAGCCAGCGCCGGACAACGCGTGGAACTTCTGCAAGAAACTCGGTGTGAGGCCGGAGGAGACGATCATCGTAGGAGACACCAACGCTGATCTGCGGATGGCAAGACAGCGGGGGTGGCAGGAAGCATCGGGGTGCTGTCCGGCGTGGGGACGGAGGAGGATCTGAGGGGGAACGCGGATGTGATTGTAGAGAGTGTGGATAGCGTGATCGAGCTCGTGAGGTGATGGGGATGATGAGAGGAGAATGAAGTGAGTGAAACATCGTCTGCTCCCTCCTCGCCTCCCTCCTCCTCTCCCTCCTCCTCTCCTACTTTACATATGCCGGAAGCCTCGGGGTCGAGTCGTCCTGAGATCGCATCAGATATCAACACGTCATCACATTACGGCTACCTCCTCCTCCTCCTCGTGTGCGGCATGAAACCGGAGCTTCTTGACTCCCTCCTGCTCAGCAGTCACTTCACTACCTCCTTGTTCGATCTCCACCTGCTCCACCGGCGAGTTCTCCCATCCTCCCTTCGCCGGCTTCCTCCTCGTGTAGCTGCGGGTCCCGAGGTCTGGGGTTGCCATCCTCGCGTCGCCCCGCAGACTGGTGTCCCTTCGATGAGTCAGGGGGATCTGAAGGTGCAGAGACTCTCCCTGCCCAGCTGCTCCTCACCTCTGAACCGCCACCGCTGAGATCATGTCGGCCGTGGCTGCCAGCATCCTCGAGGTTGGCGACATGCCGGACCAGTCGACCATGGGGCTGCGGAGGCTCCTGGGCAGGTTGAGGAGGCGCGAGGAGAGAGGAGGAAGCGAGACCTGCGATCGTCTTCGGGCCACTTGGAAGTCCTGAAGTGATCTGACGGCAGCCGTGAACAGCTCAGCAGGCGGGGGAGGAGAGGAGAGGAGAGGAGAGGAGAGGAGAGGAAAAGAGGGGAGAAGAGAGAGGAAGCAAGGCGGGAAGGGATCACAGCACCTGGAGGATTCCAGGACATCTCAGCTCTGATGGGGCTCTGCTGGAGGGGATGGTACGGCTCTCTGTGAGCAAGAGGAAGAGAATGACTGTGGTAGTTTCTCGGGGCTCTTTCTCTCGGCTCCTCCTCCTCCTCCTCCTCCCTCAAAGCATGTCCCCTCCTAGTCTCCTCCAGCTCATTCTCCAGCTGCCTTGCCTGCTGTAGCGATCAGCCCTGCCGAGGGTGAGTAGACGAGACTCACGGCCTCTGCTCCGAACTTGCTGAGGTCGTCCAAGCGACCGCCGAGCTCCCTCACGTTGTTGCTGAGGAAGGTGAGAGAAAGCGAAGGAGGGACGAGGGAGAGAGACCAGGAGGAGAGGAGTTGAGGGGAGAGGAGGACAGGACAGGACAGGACAGGACAGAAGAGGAGAAGAGAGGGGAGGGGAGGGCAGGGGAGAAAGAGAAGGGATGGATAGAGAGAAGGAAGGGAGGGAAGAGGAGGGAGGGAGAGGAGGGAGGGGACAGCAGGAGGATCAAGTGAAGTACCTCAAGTCCCTCACAGACGAAAGGAGTCCCAGCAGAACCTCGTCGGGCACCAACATGGTGACTTTTGTCGCCTGCCTGCCCTTGGAATCCACAGCTGCAGAGGCTCCGTCGTTGTTGTAGTCTGACAGCACTGTGAGAAGGGAGAGAATGACGAGGAAAAAGGGTGGCAGCAGGAGAGGGAGGAGGGAGAAGGGAAGGAGGGGGGAGGGGAGAGGGAGGAAGGAGAAGGAAGGGGGGAGGAGGCAGGAGGCAGGAGGCAGGAGGCAGGAGGCAGGAGGCAGGAGGCAGGAGGCAGGAGGCAGGAGGCAGGACGGGGGAGGGGGGAGGGAGGAGGGGGGAAGAAAGTGGAGGATGTGCGACTGGCTACTTGCTCTTCGGTTGCTGCCGAGGGACTGGAGCGGCGGGTTCTCGTCCTTGCTGACGTCCTTGAAGATGACCTCAGAGGGCGACTTGCCGTTGAGCTTCTGAGCTGGAGGATCGCTGGAGAGGGAGCCCTGGCTCTTGGTCTTGCCTCCTGCGATGAGGGAGGAGGCGATGACGGAAGACTGCCTGTCGTCGTCCTGCTTGAGGGAGGAGAAGCCCGAGACCTGGTCCTTGTCCTTGCGGAAGTGACGGTCGAGGATGGAGGAAAAGCCGAGGAGGCGGAGGGGAACGCGGAGGGAGAAGAGGATGCCCTCGCGGAACTCGAAGGCCATGGGGTCGACGGTCTCTTGGTTGCTGACGTCATCGTAGGTCTTGGCGATGATGGCAAGGAACATGTTGAGCATCACAAAGAAGGCAACGAAGAGGAAGGTGATGTAGATCAGCGGGCCCAGGTACGCGTTGCTGGCGTTCAGCTGGTCGATGTCGAACCCTCCCAGCAGAGCCTTGAACGTGTTGACGCACGCGCTGTAGCTGGGAGGAGGTGAGCTGGAGAAGACGAGGACGAGGAAAAAGACAAAAAGAAGGGGGAGGAGAAGGGGCAGGAGCAGGAAGCAGGAGGAGCAGAAGCAGGAAGAGAGAAAGCATAGAAGAGCTTACAGGGCCTTGTAGTCTGAAATGTAGGCACCGAAGGAGACATACATCGTTTGCGCGTAGGCCCAGAGGACAACAAACAAGAGGCCCGCGAAGATAGAAAGATTTGCCCCTGCCTTAGCGATTGTTTCTGCCAGAAGCATAATCATCATCATCATCATCATCATCATCAACAACAACAACATCAACAACACTATCATCATTATCTCTTCCTCTTCCTCTTCATCTCCATCGTCGTCGTCATCATCATCTGCTTCTCCTCCTCCTCCTCCACGCATGTTCACCTATGAGCTGCTCGGCAGCAGAGCTGAGGAACTTGAGGAAGGAGAATATCTTCATCCAGGTGAAGAGCGCGTTAAAACCGTTCCAGGAGGCGATGAGGTTGTAGATGCTGCCGACGTAGTCGAAGTCGACATACTCCACAGCACTGCTGACCGGGGTGGAGACAAACGTCTGCGTCTCAAGAAAGAAGATCACCTTGTAGTAGAGGGACACAAGGAAGAAGAGGTAGTTCATAAGGTCGACCACATTCCAGAAGTACCCAAAGAAGTCCCAGCTGAGCAGATACACCTTGTAGCAGGAGTTGAAGATGGAGAAGAAGACGATGCCGTACACAACCGCATCCATTATCAGCAGGAACACGTCGTTGGCCCTAACGTACCCCATCCTCATCGCCCGGAGGCTCTGGTAGCCCACCACGAAGCCGTGAGGCTGGAACTCGAAGACGAGCCGGACGGAGAGGAACGTGTTGAGCTCCTGGTTGTAAATGACCCAGTCGAAGACGACAGCGCGCGTCTGCCTGTCTGTCCACCTCATGGCCTTGAGCGCGGCCAACATGCTCTTGAACTCGTCGTTGGAGATGTTGAGCGGGAAGTCCTGCACGTATCCTCCCCCCTCGTACGTGATCGGTGTCGTGCTCCCTCTCGACGTGAAGGACTTTGAGTTGAGCTCCTTGGCGCTCTTGTACGGGAGGGGAACCACCGAGATGGTCCCGTTGTCAATCTTCAGCCCCTGGATGGTCTCCTTACTGATCGTGGCGCTCGGCATCCTGGGATAGCAGGTTGAGATGCCGTCGGTCATGTACAGGTTGGTCCCGTTGTAGCTCCCCTGGCTGATCACTCCCCCGTACTCCTGACTCGACATCCTCCTCGGCACCTCGCACTTCTTGGGCTCGATGCGAATCTGGCGGAGGCGAGGAGGCTGGACAATCAGGTTGTTCTGCAGGACCCGCCACTTCACCCCCTGGAAATCCGGCTCGAACGAGCTCCCGTTGTACCAGTTGTACTGGAACAGGAACTGCGGGGGAACCTCCGTCATCCATGCCCAGAAGTCATCAATCGATCCGATGTCTGCGTCCTTCCCGTCAGCCCGCTGCCAGGAGTCACTCCTCCTCTCCTTCCTCCTCTCCTCCATGTTCTCCCCCGTGGCCTCCCTCCTGCCCTCCCCTTTCCTCTCCCTCCTCTCCTCCCCCATGCCCTCTGCCATCCTCCTCCGTCTCTCCACTCCCTTCCCATTGCTCCTCCTCCTGCTCTCGCTCTCCTCCCTCTCGCTCCCACCCACTGACCGCCGATGTTCTTGAAGTAAGTAGTCGAGATGTAGGAGGAGCCAGTGACAGTCCCGTCGTACACCTGGTGGATGAGGTCGTACGTCTCCTCCACGGGTCGCTGCTGCAGCGAGCTAGCGCTGAAGACGGTGAGGAAGACGATGTAGATCCAGAACTCGTGCGCCTTTGATTTGCGGAAGAGCTTCGAGACCTGGTCCATGTCAAGGCTCTCCTTGTACCTCACCCCTGCTGCGATCGACAGCCTCTTGGCAAGAGTGTTCCCTCCTGCCTCGACTTGTCATCGGACGAGACGGCAGCTCTTCCTCCTCGCTCACCTTGCTGCAGGAGAGCCATACTCTTCTGCTTCTGCAGCTCCTGCTCCCTGCATCAGCAACGACCAGCCACCGTTTCCCCTCAGCTCACATAAGTTCCAGGCTTGCGTTGCGAGCCCCCATTGCTCTCTTCCTCCTTCGCCATTGCGTCCTCACAAGGATCTGAATGCAAGCTGGTCGATACACAAACAAACTCCGACGGTCACTGGGGAGCTTCAAGGGCTCGAGGCACGTTGAATCGTCCAGCTCATGTCCGTTTGCATTGCTGCCGTTCACTTCAGACCACCAGGTGAGCCGCCGACACGCGTCTACAGCTCTTTGTCTATCTCACAGAGGCTCTCTTCCCTTCTGCAGATGCTTCTTCTCAGTCTTGTATTAGCTTTTGGGTCCCTCTATCTCTGCAGTAATAGAGGAGTTCCTGGATCTAATCTGTTCAAGCTCGTTCTGTCAAAAAGCAGACTTCTCCTTCTCTGACATTCCATGAAGCATTCTCCTGCTCCTCTGTGATGTTTCATACATGGCACATCTGCTGGTGTTGAGCCCTTCACTTGGTTGCCTATCACACCTAACTTTCATTTGATACTTCTCCCACTCCTATCCATATCCTTTCCCAAACTTTGCAAATCAGTTGGAAATCTGATACTGTCTTCACCCTCTCTTTGCTGGTACTTCTGATATCATCTTCTCCCTCCTCCTCTTCCCCTCTCCTCCTCCCCCTCCTCCTTCCTCCTCCCCCTCCCTCCTCTTCCTCCTCTTCCTCCTCCCCTTCCCTCATCATCCCCTACATTGTTTCGGTTTGTCAAAACACCCTACCTAGGAAGAATCAATCATGAACTACCCCTACCCAGTGTGAAAGCAACCAACAGCAACACTACCCTCACTTTATACCAAAAATCACCCACCTTTACTGGTACTTTACTGAACATCAATTGTACCCCTACCCACTTTGTTGATGGTAACCCCCCACACTCCCGACGAATTCCCCGGGTCAGAGCCCCAACAAAAAGAATCGCAACATCAACAAGAAGAGGAGAGGAGAGGAGAGGAGAGGAGAAGAAAGGAGAGGAGAAGAGAGGACAGGACAGGACAGGACAGGACAGGACAGGAAACGAGAGGATGTACAGTCAAGAGGAGAGGAGCAGGCTGCGTAGTGCACTCAATTCAAAGTTGTTTCCAACTGTAATAAATAAAGATGTTCCTGGACGTTTGAGTTTCCTCCAAGATAATTATCAAAGAGGGAGGAGAAGGAAAAATCGAACTAGGAGGGAAGGAGAGAGAAATGCTTAACTGTTAACTTGGTCATTCTTTGTCTTGGCTATCTTTCCCTCCAGCCTCCTCACCCCTAGTCTCGTTTTCCTCCTCTTCCCTCCTCTCTTCTGCCTTTTCCTCGTCTCTCATCCACTCCTCCTCCCTTCCCTTCCCTTCCCCCTCGTACTGCGCCTCCCCCTGTCCCTCTTCCTGCTTGTCTTCCTCTCCTCTTCCAACCTGCAGCAGTTGTCACGCACTTCTCGCTCCTCTACCACACTTGCCGTTATCCCCGCCAGGCTCAGAAGTGCCGCGACGTGACTGCTGATGCTGGCACCTGTTCTGCTTGTGATGACAAGTACTCCTCTCCTCCTCCTCCTCCTCCTCCTCCTCCTCCTCCTCCTACTCCTCACTTCCACTCTTGTCCTCCTTGCCCCCTCCTCTTCCTCGCTTCCCCTTCCGCACGCTACCATAGCTCGTGTCGCCATCTGGATCAACCGCAGCTGCGTCGTCACCGGCCAAGAGATGCTGAGCTTGCGACGAGTTCACTTCGAGCACATCGTTCCGCAAGCCTGCGAGAGGAGGGGAGTGAGAGGGGAGGAGAGAAGAGAGGAGGAGGATACGGAGGAAGAAGCTTCCCAGGTTGTACTTGAGGCAGTCCTGGCTCTCTCCCACACACATCTCTGCACGTGAAGTCAGGGGCGACAGGCTCGAGCGGCAGCTCCACAGACCGACGTGATGCCGGAAGTTGAGCGACTCGTCCTGGAGCTGCACCAGCAGACCCTCGACCTCGTTGGACAGAGGGCGGTCATCCAGCCTGATCATCTGTGCTGTCGTTACCTCACCGGGAGGGAGGGAGGGAGGGAGGGAGGGAGGGAGGGAGGGAGGGAGGGAGGGAGGAACCGCGATCATCTCCGTCGACAGTTTGAAGAGGTTGACCCCCCTTGCTCTTTCTATCTCCCTGACTCGCTCGCCTGCTCCCAATGTCACGCAAACCTGAGAGGGGAGAGGGAAAGCCTTTCCGTTCTTCCTCCACCACATCAGATTCTTCGTCAAGATGCTGAGTAATGCACGTAAGTATCCAACGTCCCAACTCTCCTCCTCTATCACTAACGTCATGTGCCCCCTGTCTCCCCTTCCTTCCCTTCCTCTTCAACTGCTCTTTCCCTCTCCTCGTCACCTGATCGCTCTCTCATTCTGCACGGAGCTCTTCAGGACTCCCGCGCGCTCCCCGCCTGACCACGATCAGTCGTCTGGCTGCGCAGACAAGTTTCAGGAGAGATGAGCAGAGCCTCACCACCCTGGAAGTTGGGATTGAACAGTTGGAACGGGTTCACTTGGGGGTCGCCATGGAGCTCCTGGAAGAAAGCGTCAGGTGGGGAGGAGGACGAGCAAGAGCTGGACCTTGATCCTCCCATCGTTGAAATTCGGATAGAACAAGCTCTTGAGGGCTACGAGCAGACTGTGCCTGCAAGCCCTGCCTCAGGAGGGAGCAGAACTTGCGACAAAAAGCTCACAGTCGATGCTCCTTTGAGTTCCACTCGCCCAGCGGGTTCGACTCCTTCGCCGATGTCACGCGAGCCTCCTCGACGCTCCTCCCACTCACCGTCATCAGCAGATAGTGGAAGTCAACAAGCCCTGCGAGTCCTGTTAGTCTTCTCCTCCCAGCAGCGCAGACTGTCTGCCTGTTCTCGGATTGATGAAGGGATGGAAAGGAATGTTCGAGATGAAGTTTAGCTTCGGCGCTGGCCACATCCCATGAGCTGCGGGAGAAGCAGCAGAGCATCGGCACCTGCGTTGGGGTAGCTGCTGGGTATCTTGATGGAGAACTTGAAGGCCGCATGCTGCACGTGCCCCGTCAGCCCTCGCGGGTCTTGCTTTGCTACTGGACCTGGAACAGACCAGAGCGAAGGAAGATGACGCCGTGCCATTCTTAGAGGACAGAAACGTGAGATGTTTCATGGGCAAACATTGACATGAGATACCGAAGAGCGAGCCCAAGGAAGGGAGCACATATACTCCGCTCAGTACATCTCCTGCTTTTGTTCTAATCGCCTCCAGTTCCTGCGGGACTTTCGTCGGCTCCCGTTCTCCATCTCTTCCCCTTACCTCCCACAAGAACTGATCTTTGACTTGAGGCGTCACACTCTCCATCGCTGATCGCCACTCGCTCTCCTGCTCGAGTCTCTCAGCTCCCTGCTGCTGCCCTCTGCCATCACCTGGAGTGCTTTGGTTACCGCCCTCATGTCCAGGAAGCTGGAATCAGCATCGTGGTCCGACGCCTCCTCTGACAGCATAGTCGAGACCTTGAGACCTGCTCAGCGTCGTCAGGTGAAGAGCTGCAAGCTGAGCAGGAGAAGGCGAGACGAAGCGAGAGGAGCAACAGAAGGAGAAAAACGAAGCAACGGGAGGGAGACGAGCAGGAGGGGCAGGAGCAGGAAAGAAGATGCCATGAACAGGAGGAGCAGAGCGAGTGAGCGGAAAGTTGAAGCTCTGGGGATCAAGAAGCTCTGCATGAAGCTTGTCGCGCTTCAGCAGCAAAGGCTCCCTGCGCTGCATGGCTGTGCTGGAGCATGGACATGATATTTCGCAACTTGCAAGTATTACGTCTGAAGTTTTACCCACTCCAAAGTTTCAAAGTTTCAAAGTTTCAAAAGTTTCAAAGTCTTTTTTTCTTTTTTCTTCAAACAAATAGCGGGAAACATGAGACGGGGAAAATGGGGGAGGAGAGGAGAGGAGAGGAGAGGAGAGAGCTGGAAGGGGAGCGAGAAGGAAGAGGAAGAAAGAGGGAGAGGAAGAGGATGATATTCAGAGAGAAGCGAAATGCCAACACAAGTAAAGTGATCGATCTTGATGAGAGGCAAGGCAGGCGGGCAGACTGCCACAGAGAACAACGGGGAAGCAACAGGGGGACAGGGAGAGATATGAGTCCGAGATAGGAGCAGAGAAGAATGAGGCATGGTATCGAATAAACGAAAAATAGTTGGATTCCTATTGGAATTGAGCGGGAATCGCTTTCATTTCTGTAGTATTGTGAGCGTTTACTCATGAGTTGTTTGAGGATTGTATGGTGGCAAGGCAGGACGATAGATGAAGATATGATAAGGAAGCAAGATACCGAAAGGAAAACTCAATTAGATGAGTTCAACCTGATGATCAGGGCGAGGTCATGATCAATGCAGACAAGACAGTTCCTGCTGTCAATATCATAGCCATAGAATTTAGACATCTCAAGTATCAGCTAAGAGATAAGAGGAGAAGATTCTTCGCCTACGGATTGTGCAGACAGGAGAAGAGTAGCGGGTCGATGCGATGACATCTGATGCAGGAATACAAGTGGCTCATGGAAGCATGGCGTAGAGCGACCTCCCAAGTAGACGAGAGAGTGAGTGTGGTTGAAGGAAGCGAGAGCTCAAGTCAGTCGAGGAAGGTTGAGGTTGATGGGTAAGTTGTTTGTGGTCCAAAGAAGATGCACGAGGATGCGAGAGAGCGAAGCAAGGCTGACGAGGGGGGGAACAACACTGCCGTCAACAGGAAGCCGTCGCCCGCTCATGCCAGCGAGGGAAGGGGCGATGTAGAGATGTCGAGGCTGTCGATAGGAGAAGCGACGGATCGGCTGGTTCAGATAGGAGAAGCTCATGAGAACGGTATGGAATGCGACGAGGAGGACGAGAGGTCTCAGTTCCTTCCCAACTCCATGTCTTCTTCTCGCCGCGGGATGATGTCTCGTGTCAGTGGTACCATTGCCATGATCATCCGGCATGGTTGCGGGAGGCAGGTGAGGGTCCGCCGTGCTGACGGCGGGGGCTGAAGTTGGAGGTCGCAGGTGCTCGTCCTCGTCATCCTCTCCACAGCCTGCTGGATAGTCATCTCCTTCTTCGTCCTCCCCGTCATGGACGCCAAGGATCGAGCCCGCCTCAAAGTCCCCGAGTCGCTCTCGGAGGTGCAGGAGATGTACGGCATGCTGGGGGAGTACAAGACGAAGCACTACTGGGCCATCCTCATCGGGTTTGCTATGGCCTACCTCATCAAGATGGTCCTCGCTCTCCCAGGCTCTCCTCTCTTCAACCTTCTCGGAGGAGCGCTCTTCGGCGTCCCCGTCGGCTTCATCGTCTGCATGGCCTGCACGAGCATCGGCACAGCCTTGTGCTACGTCTTCTTCCAGACCTTCGGAGGCCCTGTGGTACGCTGGCTCCTGCTGGAGCAGCTGGTGAGGTTGGACGAGGCAGTGCGGCATCACAGGCGGAGGCTGTTTTACTACCTCACAGTCATCCGCATCTTTCCCATCACCCCTAACTTCTTCATCAACCTTGCTGCTCCCTTGATTCGCCTCCCCCTCGTTCCCCATGTGGCGTCGGCAACCATCGGTTGATCCTTGCTGCCATGGCGCTTCTGACGCTTCCCGCAGGCCTCGCCCCCATCACCTTCCTTACGGTGCAGGCAGGAATGACGCTGTCCTCGTTGGAGAGCCTTAAGGTCTCCTCCTCTCAATCGTGCTGCTCGAGGCTCACGCACGCGGCACAGGATGCGGTCGACAGAAGGATCCTCATCACCCTCGGCGGGCTCGCGATCTTCGCGTCGATCCCTCTCCTCTTCCGGTCTTTCTCCTCGTGCGATCTCCCTCTCCCTCACTGCAGCACAGGAGGAGCGTTGAGAGGTCTCTTGAGAGCTTGTCCGACACCGAGCCAGGTCTGGACCTCTTCCTCTGCGCTCTCCTCATCTGATCCTCGATGTATCAGTTGTTGTTCCAGAGGTTCTCCGGGCTGATTCGAGCATATGAACTCTCTTGCCTGACTAGGTTCCATAAATGTCGTTGTCTTGACCTCCCTCTTCCTTTCCTCCCCCAAACCCTCCCCAGCCTGTCCCGTCCGCCCTCACATCCTCAGCTAGCTGCCCGTCTGATTGCAGAATCGGGTCCAAGGCAGGCATTCTGAACTCGAGCACGCGGTCGAACATCGACGAGTTAGTCGGAGTGATGGTGGTGAAGGTGACGTTGAGTCGCCTCCCTCCCACTTCGATCACTGCCGACTCATTCATGCGGACGAGATCAACTGGGGACGACGAGATGTTCTCCCCCGTCAGGTAATTTCTCATTCGCTGAATCATCCTCGCAATCATTAAGTTCGACTGCAGTGACCCAGGAGAGGCCCTGCCCAAGTCCTCCTTCACCAGCAAGCTTTCGTTCTTCGCCTCCCTACCCCCCGACTCGTCCCCGCCTGCATCCTCTGCCACCTCAGGAATGATGTACAAGCAAGGGCCACCCTCCTTGCTCACTGCCAACTCCTGCAAGGTGCTGCCGTTCCTGAGGAACCTTCCTCGACATACGGCTCGTTGGAGCTCACTTGGGATGCCGGTGCTGAGCCTCACCTCCTCCTTGATCTCCTGGATCGTTGTCTCCGTCTTCCTGAGCAGGTTCAAGCAGAGCATTTCTTTGCTGCTTTGGTTGTACACCTTCACCACAAGAGGGACCCAGCCTTCCCCTTCAGATATTCTCCGCATCTTCTCCGCACTCTTCGTCTCCTCTCCTCCCTGACTCCCTACCTCCTCTCGCTGCCGACGCATCCTCGCCTCCTGCTGCTGACCGCTGAAAGGAACCCAGAGCGAGCCGTTGGCATCCTGACCTGCCGCTCGCTGTTGGATGACGTACTCCAGCACCTCGCCCTGACTTGCAGCCAGCACTGCTCGCATCTTCCAGGCAGCTTCAGGTAGCGCAGAGCAGTTACCAGCAGGTTTGCTTGTATGGTTGAGAATGTGCTGCTTGAGAACAGACGTGTGCTCGTTGATGAACTGGCAGTGAGGACACCCGTACCACTTGTCTGCATCCTTTGACGTCAGAAGGAAGAACGTTTCTCCCAATACAGAAGATCTGTACGCTCTGACATCATCCAACGCCGTGCCGCGCTCCCTCCAGGTCCCATCGGCCGATCCTCCTCGCAACCTCATCACGCTCCTCGTCTGCCTTCCACCCGCAAAACAATCGTTCATTGCGCCCATTGAACGCACCAGGAGCAGCAACAGAGCATGTGGCCGCCTGCCTAGCTTAAGGCCGAGGAACAGGCCAGATGCTCTACTAGCAAGAGCAGCAGACATCAACCCTTTCTCCTTGAAGATGCTCTCAAGTCTCTTCCTCTAGTCTTTTCCTCCACCTCCTCCCTTCCTCTAGTCCAAGGCTTCCAAATCGTGCAGTCAGGGCCAGTTCATCGATAGTCCTTGAGCCGAAGATCCAGGTCTGTAGAGCAGCCGTAAGGATGCGTCGCCTCTCTCCTCCTCCCCCCCCCCCATTCTCCTCCCCCTGCCTCTCCTCTCGTCTCTCCCTCTCCCTCCTTTCCTCCTTCTCTCTCCCCCCTCCCTCCCTCACTCCCTCCCTCACTCACTCCCTCCCTCCTTCCCTCCCTCCCTCCCTCCCTCCCTCCCTCCCTCCCTCCCTCCCTCCCCCTCTCCCTCTGCGTCTCCGTCTCCGTCTCCGTCTACTTCGCAGCCCCTGATCCTCTGACTTGCGGCTGCTCGTTCATGTTCGGACAAGATTTTTTCAGGAGAATACAAGGAACCGTTGAAACAAAGAACCGCAGGAGGGAATCTCTAATACAAGGAACCGGTAAAATAAGGAACCATTGAAGAAAAGGGCCAAGGGTCGCCATGGGGTTGCGAGCAGCGGTGAGTGAGAGGAGGAGCAGGAGCAGGAGCAGGAGCAGGAGGGAAACGAGAGGGACGATGAGCTTTCATGGAGGCGTATGTATTATGTTGAAGATCAGAGTGGATGGGAGTGGAGTGATGATGTCAAGATCGGTATTAGACCACAGCCTTGTTGGTCTTCTTCGCTGGAGCTCTTTGCCCTCATCGAGAAAATGTTTCTACGTGTCTGAGGGTTTGGGTGCTGTTTTGTTTCGATGCTTCCCTTTTGATCAGTCGTCTTGTCTTGATGTTCAAGTGTGAGATATTTGAACTTGCATGTACGGCGTTGAGATGTTGAGATGAGAGTAGTGGAATTGAGAAATCGGATCTTGATTCAACGACTTGCAGGCTGTATTCGCCGCCCTCGTACTATGTCCCCTTCTCCTCGTAGAGAGGATGCCGTCCCTGATCTTCCAGGTTTACTTTCATCCCCTGCACTTTGTGAACTGGTGAGGCAACTCGTCTCACGATCATGCTTGTCAGCGTGGGGATGTGCTTCTTGCGCAACAACGAGGTGCTCGAGTGTCGTCGCTCGAGCAGTTTGGAGGGCAGAAAGTTCAGTGGGGTGAGTGAGCGCATGTTTTGCTGCCCCTCGTGCTCACCTGCTCCCCAGAACCGCTGCGGCCAGAGCATCCGCAGTACTACCCGAACGTTGTGAGTCGCCGCTGCCATGGGGCCACGCATTGTCAACGGATTGACTAGGTTCGACAGATTTACCTGTACACTGGTCCAGAGACTTCGCTCTATGGGCACTCGAACTCCATCACCAACTTCAAGAGCGTCTTACGAAAAGATCACCCCGAGGTGGCCGGCATTGTGAGCCTCGAGTCACCCGCACTGACACTCCTCCTGAACCAGGTGATGGTGAAAACGTTCGGAGATTTTCGAACTGCTACAATCAGAGCTGCAGCGTGGGATGAAGCTGCACATACTATCGGTGACTGATCAATGTTGGAGATGCACGATTCTTACAGGTCGGTGCAGTCTTCCCTTCGTTCACCGATTATCCGGACCTGCACATGATCTCCAAGACAGACCTGCGAGGTTACGCATCCTCTGGTGATCCGCAACTTGATGTACTTGGACCGATGTAATCCGAGCGTCAGGAAACAACATCGTCTTCCTCGGCGGGTTCGGCTCCCTCTCGGTCATCAACGAGATCTTCGGGTGCTTGCTTCAAATGGTGCTCCAGTCGTGTCAGTGACACTAGCGGGTTGCAGGTGGCAAATCCGACCAGTGGAATATCAGGTGACAAAGGCAGCCTTGGAAGATGCTGTTCTAATCTGCCCGACTGGTCAGGATGGTCCCTTCTACAGGTCCAAGAGGAATGTTCACAACACGGTCTTCGCGGGCATGCCCAGCATGTTGGAATCAGGGAGGGACAACAGAATATATGGAGTTCACTTGGGCTCCCTCCCTCCTGGAGCAAGATCCTACTACGACTCTATCGGAGACAGGTATGTTCGAGCTTTTTTTGCTATCTCTTCGTGATCTCACCGCTGCTCGTCATCTTGCGCTTTGCTGATCTCCTTTGTCTTTGAGCAGTGTGGTTTGGTCCGTCCGCTATGATCTTGGGATGATCACATACGTGGGGAACAGCATGGAAGCCTTGACTGGAGAGGCCCATCACACATCGGTAATTTGTGATACAAGTAAGCTGCTGCCAGTAACAGCTGTTTGTAGGATGGCCCTTGCTCGCTGTGCGATCACGGCTCTCCGTCAGCTCAGGTGAGCGTTGAGGCAGCATATGTTCGATTTGACATGATGTGTTTGCCAGTGGCGGAGAATCCTCCAAGCGGCTGTAGCCTTGTAACATGACGAATAAAAATAGATCTTCTAGATCGGGTTGAGGGATGGGGAGAAAACCGAAACGCAGACACGATTGAAGTTTTTCGAAACCGTTTACGTAATCACATATACAAACGGATAGCTTAGTTTCCCGGGCAATCGAAGGCTGTACAAAGCAGGTCAGGTAAAGCTCACAAAAAATCAACAAGCTCTTACTCTGCTGGTGGGGATCCTGGAGGGTGAAGGTGGCAGCGGAGCCATCCTGCCAGGACTGGGGGCACAAGTTGTCGTAGAAGCCAGGTCCAGTAGCCATGGGCTGGGTGTAGAAGTAGGCAGGGAACGAGCAATCCTGTCACACAATGTGAGCCCTCCACAACCGTTGGATACCACAGGATGCGATCAAGGGAACAGGATATTGCTCAGACAAGTAATGCAGAACAAAACAGAATTTTCCAGAGAATTAGAAAACAACACTGAAAACGAAGATACGATCCGATTAAGAACAAATCGTTTCATCGCTTCGTTTTTTGTCCCAAAGCAAGGCAACAGCAACTACAGGCGAGTGAACCAGGATGCACGATCTTCAAAACAAACAACGTTTGTGAAAAATCTTAGAACATGAATCATAATACTCGTTAAGTCAGACGGAGCAAAGCGCTAGAAGCACCTCGAGTTTTCAAACGAAACAACGAAGCTATCCAGCAACGTTTGAGAGGACAAAATGGATGGGGGCACACAATTGAAGAATACAACAGGATACAAGGATGAATACAAGAAAGAAAGAAGAGAGGGAGACAGGGAGACAGGGAGACAGGGGAAGAGGCGCAGCGGAATCGGGAGGAGGAGGCGAGCAGGAACTTACGAGGCGGGAGAACAGCATGGTCTAGACGGCGGGCGGGACGACGGCGCCTCTTAAAAACCCTGACCCTTCGCCAAGAGCCATATTAAATCATCTCCCTCATACCCCTTCGCCCTCATCCCCCTTCCCTGCCCCCCCTTCCCCCCTCTCACAGGCCCGCCCCAGCAGTGCCGCTGCCACAGCCCCTCATACCGCCCTCCCCTGCATCATCCCCCTCACTCTTATACCCTCATCCCCTCCTGGCCCACCTCAATCTCGGTATCGGGGGGGCCGCCATGTCGGAGCGAGGGCGGACGCGCGCGTTCCTGGTGATGGAGGTGATGCGAGAGGCGCTGGCGAAGGACCCCAAGGAGACCATCCACCTTGAAGTCGGCCAGCCCTCCTCCCCTGCACCCAGGAAGGTGAGAGGACAACGAGAGGAGAGGAGGAGAAGGAGGGAAGGCAAAGTGGAGGAAAGGAGCGGAGGGGGTGAGGTTGAGGGTAAAGTTGGAAGCAGCCAGGATAGAGGCGAGGATGGATGTTGTTGTTGACAGAGCTACAGGTCAGGGAAGCTGCGAGCGCCGCATTGCAGGGGGAAGAGAAGCTGGGCTACACAGAGGCAGCAGGGGTGCGGGAGCTGAGGGAGAAGATAGCAGGGCACTATAAGACAAGCTACGGGGTGGAGGTTGATGCAGGTAGTGTGCTGGTCACAACAGGTAGCAGTGGAGCCTTCATCGTTGCCTTCACTGGCGCCTTCGACCATGGCGATCGGGTGGCAATGGCTTCTCCTGGGTATCCGTGCTACCGCAACATCTTAGAGGCTCTCGGAGTTGAGGTGGTTGAGCTGCCAGTGGGGGAGGAGACGAACTGGCAGCCAACTCGCGCCATGCTGGAAGAAGCGATGAAGGGAGGGAAGATCCATGGGCTCATCCTCGCCTCTCCTTCCAACCCCACGGGGACCATCTTGCGCTCGTCGGAGATGCAGGACCTCTGCTCCTGCTGCTCGACTCACGGCATCCGCCTCATCTCCGACGAGATCTACCACGGCATCATCATGGAGGGCCGCGCCGACTCGGCGCTGCAGTTCAAGAAGGACGCGGTGAGCGTGCGGAGAAGGTGGAGGAGGCGCAGGGGGAAGGGGGAACTGAAGGAGGAGCAGGTGATCATCAACAGCTTCTCCAAGTACTACTCGATGACAGGATGGCGACTGGGATGGATCGTCTGCCAGGATCCTCAGCTTGCTCAATCTTTTGAGAATCTCCTGCAGAACTTCTTCATCTCCGCTCCCACCCTCTCCCAGCTCGCTGGTGACCCTTCCTCTCTCCTCCGCCTCCCTCTGACTGATCTCCTTCTGACTCGCCTCCTGCTCCTCTTCCTCGTCTCGTCGACTCTCTTTGCAGGAATTGCTGCATTTGATTGCATAGATGAATTGGAACAACATGTCGAACGGTACAAGAAAAACCGAGAGGTGCTTAACTCCTTCTCCCCCGCCTCCGTCCTCCTCCTCGGCTTTCTCTTCCCCTTGTTCCGACCAGCGATGCTTCATTCCCTTCCTTTCTCGCTGCGTCTCCTCACAGCCTTGCAGGTTCTCCTTAATGGACTCCCGAAGGCTGGCTTCCACGAGCTCAGCAGGCCACAGGTCCTTGTCCGCAATCCTCCTCCTCCTCCTCCTCCACCTCCCTCGTACG